GTCGACGATTTTGATAGTCGACGTAATCGTGACTAGTCGACTAATCGTGGCAGCCCTACCCCCAACCAAGGCTAAAGAAAAAGATCTCCTGAAAGTGCTGGGCCCAGTGGCAGCCCTCCAATGGTAGGCCAGTTTGCAGGTCACTCATCATACAGGACAGACCTAATAAACTGGAAACCATCAAGCAACCGCTTCCAATGGTGAAGCCTCTGTACCTGCACCTGCTGTATCTGTATCCATATATGAAAAACAGAGAGCACAAAACATTACACATTCACTGAAGAGGCCACTTTGTGCTACTGTGGGTGATACTGGTTATATACTGGTTGTATACTGGTTATATACTGGTTATACACACTACCATTAACCTTCTCAGGTGTGTTTAATTTGGCTGCATCACTTTGTTTCTGTTGCTGTGAGAATGTTTATAACAGCTTCATAAAATCACTATTAATAATTCTAATTACAAGGTTGTTATTTACTTTCTAACAAATAGTTTTGAGGAGACAGAAGTAAAACTAACAATATTTTCTCATTATATCAGCATTCATAAATATAGATAAGGGCATTTCTGGTATTTAATAATGCTCTCAAGTGTCAGCTTAGCAGTAAACGCACTGATGCAAAGATGAAGAAAGGACCATGAGACAATCAGCACCTTCAGCTGTCGAGCTAAGTTTTGCTGCTTAAACATTATTCTTGCCGTTACCAGTAAAAGCTGTGAGCAACAACGACACGGCGCTCACCTCGGTGACATTCCTGTGACCAGTAGGTGGCGATATGTAGAATACCCAGGAACCAACAGTGAAGGTTTCATGTAGATCACATGATGTTTGTTACCTAATGCTGATTTCCTGTTGTTACTTGGTGGCACTATGAGGGCGGATAATATTTACCAGACTCTCAGTAAGCATCAGATTTTATAGTGGTTGCTATATGCATGAGGTTTTTTGTTATAGCTGCATATCAGCCAACACAGTGGACGCCAGTCCTTCATCTCTGCCACTGGGTGGTACTATTAATGTGACATAATACTGGCATGTGGATGTGCACTGTGCAGTCTGTCTCACATTTGACATGCTTGATGAAAGTGTAAACATGACGACATCAGAGATGTGAGGGCATGAAGCCTGTAACAGAGATAGATGCATCAAAACATGTCAAAGTGGCTAATTCAAATATTAACGAAACATCCAGGACTCCTGCAAGTTTCCATGTTTAATCATGTTTACAAAAATATAACCAGGGACCTTTAATGGCAGCCTGGTCACCGAGTCAGACTTTGGAGGTCTGCAAGTGGGTTCAAGTAATTCTTAGGGAAAAAAACAAGTTAAAAACCAGCAGTAAAGAAATGAAACCATCGGAGAGCATTAAAACCAGGAGGCATTTATGACAGCAGGCAAGGAATATACATTATATAAGAGGTCACAGAGTAACAATGAGGCGGTGAAGTTGTCATTTCTAAATTGGATGCAAGGATAATTTGTTACATCTCGAGCATCACCAGGCTGTAAATAAATGAGCATATTCCTGGTAAATTCCTGTATAACAGGAAAACAGTATTTTGTATTCATATCACCACTGTTAAGTGTTTACGTGTTTGGAAAACCTCAAAACAAATTACTGAATCGTCACGGCTGTCTTTGGGCTGAATCCCACTTACACAAATCAAGGTGGGATTTCCTCGAGGTCCCAACATCCCTCATCCACGTTCAAACAGTGCAGCAAATAAGTGAGGTGCGAGTACAAGTTGGTATGTTGGTCGGCTGTAGCTCAGGTGGTAGAGCAGGTCAGCTACTGACTGGAAGGTCATGGGTTTGATCCAAGCTCCCGTCCATCCATCTTCTTCTGCTTATCCGGAGCCGGGTCGTGGGGGCAGCAGCCCAAGCAGAGAAGCCCAGACCTCCCTCTCCCCAGCCACCTCCTCCAGCTTATCCGGGGGAACACCACGGCATTCCCAGGCCAGCCGAGAGATATGGGCCCTGGGGCCTCCTCCTGGTGGGACATGCCCGCACCTCACCCAGGAGGCGTCCTTGTCAGAGCCCTGGACCACCTCAGCTGGTTTGGGCTCCCACTAATCTGCATGCCAAATATGCTTGGGGAAGATACTACCCCCCAGTTACTCTCTGATGCATCCATCGTGAATGTTAGCTAAACAGCACTGAAAGAAGAAAGTGCTGGTGTGAATGTGGCGTGTTGTATAGAGCGCGTTGAGTCCTCCAGGAGAGTAGAGAAGTACCATCAGTCCAGTTACCATGTAAATACTAATACATTTAAATTATTCTGTGACAGTTTAGTTAAACAATGATTCTTTTCACTCTGAGTATCAGAAGAAGGTCATTTTGTTGCTACATGAAAAATAATAACACTGCCCAGCTGATGGCAGATGGCCCCGCCCCTCGCTGAGCCTGGCTCTGCCGGAGGTTTCTTCCATAGGGGGGTCGTATGATTGAGTTTTCCTCTGCATGTATTATTGTAGGGTCGACCTTACAGTACAGAGGTGACTGTTGTATAAATAATATCGGATTGAAGATTATCTTCTCGTCTTCATTCACAATCACTTTTTGTCATTGGTTTCAATCTAAATGAATGCTTTCCTCATCACATGCTTCCTCATGCAGCACGCACAATAAACGCATTTCTTTATTAACTGAAATGATTTTGTTTTGGCAGGTTGGAAGAATGCCCGAGGATGTTTGATGTTTTGAGACTGCTGCTACCAGAATCACCTCTTCTCACTGCATGATCACACAGCAGCCTCAGGCCACACGCTACTGTTGCACTGTGTAGAATGAAAAAAGCATGAAACAGTAGCATTGACTGTAAAGACAAAGAGGCTCATGTCAGATTCAATTTAGATTTCCTGAGAAATAGCTGATAATGTTTCCTGGTGGACAGAAGGATTAATAATAGATAGTAGTGTTTACAAATATGTGAACAATGATCATTCTAACTTTGCTTAATTTACCCGACATGGCAGTTACCTAAATATTTAACCAATAATATGACAATGTTTACATAAATCTAGGTTTTTTTTGCTACTCTCTGTTCTGTATATCAATTTAAGCAACATTACTAAACATCTTGATTTCTTATATGAATTCAACATTAAATGTGAACGATGCTAAAACTAAGGTACAAATCCTAAGGTGAGAGAAAGTATGAATGAACGGCCATGCAGATTTGGAATTAAAATGAATACCTTCAATAAATAAATGATATATTCCAACCCCACTGAAGTGTTCTTACATTCATTTTCTGTCGCAGCTCCTCCTCTTTGGTTTTTATCTGTAGTGGCAGCCGGTGCTATCCTAAAGAACCACTTCAGTTTATATGGTTGTGAATAAGAGTGATGCAGCACTTAAGAAGAGAAAGGTTTAAGAACAAATTCAAGAATACACCAGCTGTGAACGTCTTCTGTGTCCCACACAAACCTTATAAAACACGACACTGACATCTGAGTCAATCGTTTAGTTTTCATGGACTCTGTCAGGAACAGCTGTGCAACATAAATAGTTCTGAATAAAAAAATCAGATAAATGAAGACGCCTTCTTCTGTAAATAATATCTTTGTCCATGTGCAAATGTGGATGGTAGCGCGTGAATCCCCCCCTCGGCTCTCCATGGTGGAGTATGATGAGGTTTCTGCCCAAGCACGAGGGTCCCTGTTGATGTGGGGGGGCACTGATGAATGGGCTCAAATTGTGGTCATAAATATTTTGTACTTGTAAACAAGATGTGTGTGGACTTAGCCAAAAAATACGTGTGAAACTCTGCACTCAAGTTTCAAGTTTCAAGTACCAATTTTGACCCAGTTTTTCTTTCTTTCATCTGATTGGCCGATGTCATGTCAATCACAAATTTAACTATCCAATCAGAGAACAGGTGGGTTTGGCTATTGGAGGGGTGCTTTATGGAGTCCACACACAAATCTTTTTTACACATGAATCCTAATTTACAAGTACAAAATATTTATGGCCACAATCTGAGCTCATGCTGATGGGATCAAAGTATCCTTCTTTATATCTACGAATGACTTAAAATTAGAGTAAGAACTCATTATGAAAGTGTCACAGATGAAGAGGATCCACAGACGTCTGTACCACTTCCCCTGCTAGGAAACGATGCTAAAGTGAAACAGCAGGACAAACGCACAGAAAACATTTATTAATGTGTCGTTTATCTGTTGTATTACTTTTCTCACATTTGAAAAACAAAGTCAGGTGATCACGGTGAGGGTTTCACTGCATACAAACTGAGCGATCATGAACACACAACTGAACTAAACTTGTGTTATATGCAGTGTAACTTTAGCTCAGTGTCGGGCCTCAGATATGCAAATACTTCATGAAAGCCTGGCACCGACTGGATGTGTGACCCGTTTCCAGGCATCGTTTAATCCACTGCAGGCAGCAGCTTTTATGTCTGCGAGCTTTCCTTCCATATCACTACATTTATTATTTACACCGTTTTCAGTCTTTGGTATTCATACAAACATTTAAAATATAAACCAAGTTGAGTTAAACTTTATTAAACTGTAGATTCATACATTCGCTCCACATCACAGTAATCAGAATTTTGCCCTCACGTGATAAATGTCACAAATGTTCCATCTAAAACTTATTTCATATTTGTTGCTACGCTGCATAAGAAAAGATGCAGAAAGGGCCCTTCATGAGAAGATTTGGTGCTGTAACAACATACAAATATGAAATAAATGATACTTCATAGGATTGTTTTTATTTAGTTTCCATAAAAGCAGAAATCGAACACGACCACATCCAGTCCAGGTGCCGCTCTGGTTGGAGGATGTTGAGCAGAAACCCTTGGTCAACATTCGAAACATTAAAAGTCAGTGTGGGGGGGGACGTGCGCCCGTCATCGGACTGCGCACACATCCAGAATACAGAACTTGGCTCTACAAGTAGGGCAGGGAACCCTGCTGGACAACCACGTCTCCGGTGTCTGCTCGTCTAGACGGCTGGCGAACCATCGACCCAGACACAACAGACACCACATGGGTCTGCAGTGACACTGCTGGCAGTCTGAATCGTCATCGTCGGTCTCTGTAGCAGACAGGAATCACACAGGCGTAGTTACACGAGCACATACGAACCCACCCAAAAAACGATCAGCGTAGTTTTACCTGCTTCGCGGCAAAGCGTGACCAGTTTGGCGTTTGCTGGAACCTGCATGCAGCCGATACAGGGCTCTAACTCCTGTGTACGCACACAGCACATGCGTCTGACTCATCTCATCTCAGCACTGGACACAATTTGATGAATGCAGCAGTGTGTACCTGTCCGTGGGGGAGGGCGTACGGCTGATTGAGGTCCACCTGAGCCTTGAACGTTTCCAAAAAGAGTTCACTGAGCGTTTGATGGATCACCACGTTAGGAGAGTTTCTGATGGGAGCCCGGAGCTTCTCCCGGAGCTCTGCGTACTCCGTAGAGTTGAGCCTGGAACGAGTGGGAAAGACGATTTGATTTCTCTTTGACACGAGACGTGCCGTTTTGTCGAGACAACACATACTTGATATTGAATGGTTTGACAGCAGGGTTAATGCTGTCAACTCTCAGGGTCAGGATCTCTGTAGGCGAGGCTGAATCCGGACTCAGGTGCTGTGTGGACTCTGTCACTGTGACGTGGCAATCGCTCTGCAGGGCCATGTGAATGTGATACGTGGTCACCTAGAAGCAGACAAAGAGGGTCAGACGTGCCTGAGCAGACAAAGTCTAGCTGCAGCTGCAGCTCATGCGCACAAGTCAGCAGTTGGATTCTTGTTGAAATGCAGCAAAGTTACCAAGTCCCTGCTCTATAAATAACATTAAAAAAAATAAACATATTAAGATGCAGGATAACAGAAAACCAGTGAAGATGCTCTAAAAATATTTATGTACCAAAATTATTACACGAAAAGCTCAGAATGGATTTGTATAGTTGGTCAGTTAATCATCACAATGATTAGACACACAGGGACACAGTTACTGCGACAACTTTACTGCGACAGCGTTACTGCGACAACATTAGACACACAGGGAAGCCCACGGCGTCTCTGTGTCCGTGTAGCTCAGGTCTGCGTTTGTTTGTTCGCCGTGCACAGAATCACTTTTCCATGGTCAGACCACAAGTGTGACAGCGTTACTGCGACAACGGTACTATGACAACGTTAGTATGACAGCGTTATTGCGACAGCATTACTATGACAACGTTAGTATGACAGTGTTACTGCAACAGCGTTACTATGACAACGTTAGTATGACAGCGTTATTGCGACAGCGTTACTATGACAATGTTACTATGACAGCGTTACTATGACAGCGTTACTATGACAACGTTACTATGACAACGTTACTATGACAACGTTACTGCGACAGCGTTACTGCGACAGCGTTACTATGACAACGTTACTATGACAGCGTTACTATGACAACGTTACTGCGA